TCCCGCTCGCAGCCGAGGTGGGAACCGCGTCCCTGGCGCTTAAAGCTGCGTAGAGGTTTTCAGCTCTGCAGGGACACTAAAAAGGCTTTTAAAGCTCCTGGGTGCGACGGGCAGACGCTGATGGTGGTGTCAGATGCCCCGTGAAACCAAAAGAGAAACAGGAGCAGCAAAGGCAGGGGAAGTCCCTGGGGCAGCAGGACCCGCCGCCGCGCACAGTAGGGAAGCGCGAAGGGAGGCTGAAGCTCTCTCGCAGCGCAGGGATGCTCTGCATGCTGTTTGTCTCCCACATTCAAATCTGKTTTTCTCCTCTGTTTGTATCCAGATTCGCTACAAGGAGGAGTTTGAGAAGAACAAGGGGAAAGGCTTCAGTGTGGTGGCTGATACCCCAGAGCTGCAGAGGATCAAAAAGACTCAGGATCAGATCAGCAACGTGAGTAGCTTCTAATCTCTGCGTGCGGAATTGCACCGTCCTCCCGCTGCGCTGCGGGCGAGGGCTGGGGCTGCAAAACGAGGCCCAATGCTCCTGCAGCTGCCAACGAGCGACTGAGGCTGCTCYGAAGCCTCGCAGGGTAATCTAAGGAAAAACTCCTTACCGGTGAGGGGGACAGAGCCCCGGAACAGGCTGCCCAGAGAGGCTGTGGAGTCTCCTTCTCTGGAGATCTTCCCAACCCGCTTGGATGTCGCCTGTGCCACCTGCTCTAGGTGACCCTGCRYGTGCAGGGGATTGGACTCGATGATCTCTGAGGTCCCTTCCAACCTTAGGGATTCATGATGATTCTAATTTGCAGGCATCATTTCCCCAGGTCCCTTGTGAACCTCTTTCCACGGGTGTTGTGCCTGCAGCTAAACACCCCGCGTGCTCCTGGAGCCCCTTCTGCTCCAAAGGCTGACAAATGCAGCGCATGAGGCTGCAGCCCCATGGAAAGAGGAATTCTGTCCTGTGCCCCCAAGAGACCCTCCTCCTCCTCTTCCAAAACCGATAAGAGCCCTGCCCAGGTTTGGTGGCACCTGGCTTAGCTTGTGCTTCATGCAGCAGCCCCCGCCAATGCCCGGGTGCGGGTTGAAGGGGCGCAGGACAGGGCGGGCTGCGTGGGGCCGACGAGGAGGAAGAGGAGGATGTGGATGTGGCTCACGTGCTGCAGCCCCTGTGCTGCCCTTGGGGTCACATCCCCTTCCCAACCCCACCTCGAGCTCCCGGAGCGCAGGGGGCCAATGAACCTTGAGCTGCTGGTGAACGGCTCGGCCCTGCCGCTTATCTCGGGGCAGGAGCTGTTGCGAAACGCGGCCCGGCCGCAGGCGGCACCGAGGCGGCCGGTTCCTCTCTGCGCCAGAAACCAGCTCAGCCGGGTCTGCTGCGYGGGGCTGCCCCTCTGCAGGGCCCTGAGCGGCTCCCGGGGTCCCCAGGGGAGGGTCTGTCACCCCAGGCAGGGGCTCCTGCAGCCTCGGGGAAGGGAGAAGTGGCAGGAAGCTTTTTCCGGAGCATTTTTCCCATCCTCGCCAAGAGCGCCTCTGCCTTGGGATGCCCTGTGCGCTTCCCAGCTCGGCTCGGTGCATCYGGGCTCGCAGGAACGCGGAGGGCGGATGGTGCCCGCGCCCTCGGTGGGAGGCCATGGATCAACACGGACTCCGAAGCGCCGGCGGGGCGGCAGGAGGGCGTTAGGGCCGGGCCCTGCTCATCTCCGGGGTGTTTCTGCGCTCYGGCAAGTCCTGGCTTCTCCTGGGAGCTGCAGGGTGGGCAGCCCTCTCCCACCCCGGGCGCTGCAGCCGCCCGCGCGCCCCCCTCTCCTCCTGGGAAGTTGCTCGGGTTGTAAGCAACGCAGCAGAGAGGTGAGACACGGAGCCCCTGGAGAAAAGGGCCGGAGGAGCCGAGGGCTCCCGTGGGGCGCCCTGCGGAGCCCGGCTCTGCGCCAGGCTCTGCCTGCCCCGTGGCACTGTCACTGAGTAACTGTTTAACCAGCAGGCAAATGGGCTCCAGGTGTTTCCCAAGAGCAGTGTATTCATTAACACAAGTGGCTATTAATTTTTACGCCCAGGCAGCCGGGTTAACCCTTCCCGCAGCGCTCCCAGCTCCTTCCCTCTGTCCTTGCCCTAGATAAAATACCACGAAGAGTTCGAGAGGAGCCGGATGGGCCCGAGTCCCGCCGAGGGCGCGGAGCCGGAGCGCAGGAACTCCCAGGAAAGCTCCAACTACCGGAGAGCTGCRGAGCAGAGCCAGCCGCCTCACCACGTGCAGCCCGGCACCCCAGGTAGGCGCGGGGCCGCGGCGGGCGCTCTTCCCCCCGGCAGGGCTGCACGGTGCAGCTGCAGCAGCCCCTGCGCCGGGGCGACGCGGGCGCCCCGCGCTCCCCTGTGCCGGCAGCAGCAGCTCTGGCTCACGGGCCCCTCTTGCCCTCGCAGTCTACCAGCAGCAGCAGCCGCCGTCTCAGTCCTACGGCTACAAGGAGCCCGCGGCGCCGGCCTCCACGCAGCGCGGCGCCCCGTCCGCAGCAGGGGTGAGTAGAGCGGCCCTGGCACCGCGCGGGAGCTGCGCCCGCCTTGGGCGCCGGTGCCGCCGCGACCTTCCCGGCTCCCGGCCGGGTTCCCCGCCTCGCTCTGAGCCCTCTCTCTGCGCAGAAGCGGTTCCGTGCCGTCTACGACTACAACGCGGCCGACGAGGAYGAGGTCTCCTTCCAGGACGGCGACACCATCATCAACGTGCAGCAGATCGACGACGGGTGGATGTACGGCACGGTGGAGCGCACGGGGGACACGGGCATGCTCCCCGCCAACTACGTGGAGGCCATCTGAGCCGCCCCGCGCGCGGCTCCCTCGCCCAGCGCCCCTTGCCCRCCGTGTCCCGCCGGAGCCGTGTCCCGCCGTCGCGGTTCCTCTCTGTTCCTGCAGCGCCTCTGGTTTCTCTCGCCAATCTCGCTCTGTCCTGTAGCTCCGTGGGGACCGAGGGAGCTCTGGCCGCGTGGGATGTTGGCAGCTCCAGAGACCCAACCCCGTAGCTTTGCTTGCTCCTTCGCCCTCCTCCTCCTCGCCAGCCCTCCCGGGTGGCTGCAGCCCCCCCAGCCGGGACTGGGCCCTTTCCTGGCTGGGATCGTGCACCCAGGGAGGAGCCGGGCGGCTGTTGGGACCAAACTCTCCTACCTCGTGCAGGGCAGGGCCGGGACGGGGGAGGAGCAGGGGGCAGGACGAGCAGGGCTTCCGCCGGGAGCTCCGTGCGGATGCGGCCGGGGGGTTGTCCCAAGGGCTGCCCGGGGCTGCAGGGAGGCAGGAGCCGGCAGCGTCTGCCCCGCGCCGCCRGCTCAGCCGGGCGCTTCCCCCGTCCCCTGTCCCGTTCCGTGTTCCCATTCAATCTCTGCTCTTTTTAAAACATTACAAAGTAGGACAATTCATGTTTAAAATCATAAACAGAATCTTTTACTTCCTCCTTGAGCTTCAGAGCTGCTGCTCCGGACAGCCCTGCGAGCGGCTCTTGGCTCCTCTCCCTTGGCTTGGGCTGCCCGCCGGCCCCGTCCCGCGGGAAGCCGGGTCCCGGAGGGATCACTGTGATCCAGAGCCTGCTCCGCTCCGGCCTTCTGCTGGGAACGGGGCACGGGGAGCAGGCCCACGGTCCCCGGTGGCGGTGGCTTTTGTGGCCGACTTGGGACCGTCCACATTGCGACCACGCTCTGAAAGGCCGTCCCGGGCATCCCGGTGCCCTCCTGCCCCTCCAGGCCGCGGCTTCCGCAGCGGGACGGGCAGGGGCAGCTCTAACTGGAAAGCTCTGGGTGCCCCATCCTGCCCCCGGCTCCTTTCCCGGCGGGAAGCCCGGAGCAGCCTGGCCAGGATGGGAATCCCGGTCAGTCGGTGCTAAAACCAGGGAGCACAAGAGCAGGAGGCGGGGGGGCCGGGGCTGCGTCTCCCCCTGCTAATCCTGCTCTTAATCACGTTCTTGTCTGGGATCGAGGGGGGTGGGTGGGAGCATCAATGTGAATAAATCATTTTGTAATGGACCAAATAGCACAGGCAGTTACATTTTGGTATACGGACCTTTTTTTAATGCTACCTTGAAACCATTGTCCTCAGTCTCCCCCTCTCATGCCTTGCCCTTTCTCCCCTGCTGTGGGAAACAAACCTCTTACTGCTTATTTCTGCCTTTTCTCTTGACTTATGCACTTTTTTGCCTTTTTTTCATAGCTGAAAAGCACCTAAACCTGTATTTAAAAGAAGTAAATAAATAAAAAGTTTAAAAAAAAAGAGCTAAATTGCTTCTCATCATGTGTAAGATAAACCTCATCCATTTTAGCTTCCCTGGTTGCATTTCAGTGCTGAGCTTCAAATGGTTGTTTTCTTGGGAATCAGTCGATCAATTGGGATTTATCCTCATCTCTTGCTTGCCACGGGGCCGAGCGCCCCTGGAAAACGGGTGATTTGGCCCTTTTAACCAAACCCTCGAATGGGGAAAAAAGAAAACTAAGCCAAGCCAACCGCTTCTCTGCCTGGTTTACTCAAATGAAAAATAAAAGGATGGTTTTTACCTGCTGCTTGTGCTGGGTTTGTTTGTGTTCCCTGTGCTGGGAAGGGCCGGAGCGGGAGCTGAGGGCGGCCGGTCCCGGGGGACGGAGCGGGGAGCACGGGGGCATTGCGGCGTTGGGCAGCGGAAGGAGCAATGGGTTGAAAATCCACGGGGAAGGGGGTTGTTGGCATCGGCCAAAAAGCAAGCAGCCGCCTCCCTGCCGCCGCTCCCGTGGCGCTGGCTCCGGTCCGCAGCGCGCGGGAGCGGCTCTTTCGGGGCGCAGCCTCCCGCCTGCCCCGGGGCAGCAGCGGCCGAAGGGAGGGAATTGGGGCCGTCCTGGGCCCCATCCCGCCGGGAGCCTCGGGCTCCCCTCCTGCCGGGAGCGGGAACGAACAGGAACGGGAAGGCGGCTCCGTGAGCTCGGGCATCATCTCTCCACCCTGAGCCGGCTCCGTGGGAGGGCAGGAGGAGGAGGAAGAGGAGGAAGAGGAGGAGGAGGGCGGCCCTCGCGGAGCATCCCCTGCGCCCGGCGGCTCTGGGCTCCGCGCCGGGGCCGGCGCCTCCCCGCGCACCATGCTGGATATTTTCATCCTCATGTTCTTCGCCATCATCGGCCTCGTCGTTCTCTCCTACATCATCTACATGCTGTAGCGCGATGCCGGCGGCCGCGCGGCGCCGCGCCGGGTGAGCTCCGCTCCGCTTCGGGACGGCCGCGTGCCGGGGCAGGCGGGGGAGCCCCGCGGGGTGGGTGCTCCGCGGCGGGCAGGGTGCCCGGGGGGGTGCGCGGATCAGGGCCCCGGACCCGGCACCTGCTGCCTGGGGGCGGCGTGAGCCCCTTCCCGCTCTGCCTCCCCCGGCCCTCCCGTTCCCGCAGGGAGAGAGCGAGGAAGGGGAGAACCCGGGATGCGGGAGGCATCGCTGGGTAGGAGGCCAAGGGGGTCCCGCTGCGCTGCCCCCAGGCAGGCCCTGGTCACCCCAGTGTCTCCTTTCTCTCCCGCAGCCGCCGCCTGAGCCGTCTCTCTTGGATCCTTCTGGAAAAGCATTAACCCTTCGGAGCCACCGGCACGGAGAAGAGGGGGACCCGGGCCGAGCAGCCCCAGGCGCRGCCCCCAGGACACCCGGAGTCCTTGGGCAACCTGGAGGGAAGGGAATAAAGAGAGGGATGACACCGGAGGAGCGTGAAGCGTCTGCTCTTGTCGCCCGGCCCCGCTGCGGCCTCCCCAGGGGTCCGGCCTCCCCAGGGGACCGGTCCCCGAGGGGCCGCAGGGGACGGGCCCCTCTGGGCGGTGGGGACCGGGGCTGGGGGCTGGTGTGGCCGCGGGGGCCTCAGCTGCGCACGGGGGTCCCCAGGGACAGCAGCTCGTCCCCATGCAGGCAAAGGGACATTTCCATACGGGGTGGGGGTTCTGTGGGATGGGAAGGACGTTTCCCGTGGGTCCCACGGCCGGTGCAGGACAAGGGGTCTGGGGGCTATGGGGCCTTGCACCCGAGGGCCTCGTGTTCGCTGGTGCAGGACACGGCCAGCGCCGGCCACGCCGAGGAGGCTCCTCCTGCACCCAACACAGTCAAAAACCAGAGCAGGAAATACTCTGGGGAGCAGCTTTCCAGACATAAACGCTGCTGCCCACGTGCYGGCCTGGCTCTGATGCCGCCGTGTGCGGTGACTCGGCGAGCGCCGGCCCCGAGCGGCGCGGGTGGAAGCTCCGCGGGGCCGAGCAGCACCGACCCCTTTCACGCCTCCTCTCCAAGGGCCTTGCGGAGCCCGGCGGCTCTGCCACGCAATCCAAAGCAAAGGGCAAACACTAGCCGTGCTATTACACCTGTAAAAAAGCCAGCGGTTATTAGTAATAATTAATAACGCCACCAATATTTTGCATTTGGCACCTGTGTAAAACTTGTGTTCCGTGTGGATTTGTGGGAGTGGGAAGCAGCGGCGGCCGAGCCGACCTTTCCCCGCTGCCGATGGCAGCGAGTGGATCAAAGAAGTCCCTCTTCCCTGCGCTCACATGAGGGCATCTGTGTGAGGCGCCGCGATTCGGCGCTGCACATCCGGGGTGCTGGGAGGAGACGGACGCCGGTAGGAAACCTGCTGCAGCGGGTGTGCCCCCACACCCAGCTCCTCTGCATTGTGTTTATGTGGATTATTTACCGGGAGCGACTGCTGCTCGTAGAAGAAAGGGGTGGATAATGAGCTGGACGTGAGCGTTGCACCTCGGTCGCTCCTCGGCTGCGTTTCCCTGCTCCAAAGCTCTTTATCCCAGTGGTTTGAGGTAGGCGCTGYGGCCGCTCTGGACACCGCGCTGGTAGGAAATGGGAGCACTAGGTAGGAAATGGGAAGCGGCTACAGCCCAGTTCCCAGGCTGCAGGGCGCTCCTAAACACAACCTGCAGAGCAGCTAGGGAGCAAAGGAGATTCTGAAAAGCATTTGCAAGCAGCCGCCTTCCGYTTTTCTTTCTCTTTTATTCTTTTCCCCCAGTGAAAGGTTTCGCCTCTGCCATCTACTGGTATAAGACCAAGATCCTTCCATTTCCCCTGCGTCTGCCCTCCCGACAGTCCAACCCTGTCCGTAACCGTGTGCGAAAACCCATTGCAGGAATTTCCAGTGCCGCAGCTGCCCACGAATCAGCACAGGGCTGCTCCCTGCTCCTCGCTGCTGAGGAGCTCCCAGTGGAGGCAGCTGAGAGAAACTGGTGCCACTTCAGCTGTTTCCAATGGCTGAGGCTGTTAAGTGTTGGTGCTTGCAGCCAAAATGTGTCCCTGAGAAATTACAAATATATTTGGAAAGAGAAATGAAGAAAATAGCCATTTGGGGAAAAAGCAGAGTGCTCTTAGCAATGCATAGTGAAGTAAGTACTTTTATTTTTTGGATGTATTACGTGTTTTTGTTGGTAATGCAATATACCAGAAAATCAAACTCCTTTTTGGTAGGAAACATTTCTATACTTTAATAACACAGTGATCTTAGCTTATGTGCATGTAACATGTCTTCAACTTAGCTAAGTCATATAAAGGCAAATACATATTAACAGGTTGGGTATTACACAAGGTGGTGAGATGGATTGGAAGTTTCTTCTGCTTTATGCCTAGATATGTGATAAGAGAGGGGGGAAAAAGGCAACTAATTTTGCCTTGCTTGATCAAAACAATTAAATTGTTTTCAGGAATTATAATTTTCTACCAAAACTGAGAGTACAAAGCATTTCTATTGCAGTGCTCAAGAACTAAGAATGTCAGAGTTGAAGAGAGATACCCCTGGTAAAGGGGAAAAATAGTCGTGTTTCTCTATWTATATCTGCTTTTTTTTTCCTCTCCTTGTTTTCTCTTGGGAATGCAAAGTTAGAAGATCAAAATGCTTTCAGTTCTGAACTAAGATAACATTCTTCAATTTGTGTCTGTGCATCAAATATGAAAACCATGCCATTTTTTTATTGTGTATGCAAACATCCCAGTGGGAAAAGGACACAGTTTATGTTCCCAAACCAAAGACCCACGAGCTGCTTCCTTGTCCCATCTTGACACCGCCTTGGATGAGCTCAATGTGCAGAGCTCTGCTGTTTCATGTCCCTTAATATGTTCCCTAAGCTTATTCAGCTGCTCTAATGCCCTTAGTGGAATGGGAATTTAAGAAATAACTGTGCTGTACTTTGAATATGTTGGTTTTTTTTTTTCTTAAAACAAAAAATAAATAAATGAGAAAAGGGAGATGTCACCCGCAGGTGTATAACAAGTTTCCTTAAAATCAAAAGGTGCTGCTTCTCATGGTCAGGTACAGGACTTCTTTATGGAAATTAGCTTGTGCGTTCACAAGATGGAACAAGTTCAAAAAGCTGCTGTCCTCTTCATCGCGATCCCCTAAGCAGGGCAAAGAGAAACATTAGCAACGCAGTTAGTGGCAGTAAAAGACATCTTTAAACCTAAATCTCACTTATTCGGTGCTTTTGGCAGAGGCTGAATCACCTCTGCATAGGCTGATTGCTCGGCAGCGGTTGCACTTGATGGTGGGACAGCTGTGAAAGCGTGGGGGACTTCAGAGCTCCTTCACYAGCTTGTCCATGGAAAAGCTTCAGCAGCTTGGCTAAGATGGACRAGAACATTGTGCTTTAAGGCAAAACCTTGTCTCCAGCAGGCTGCCCATCTCCCCAGCTTGCAGTCCTAGTCAATCTGGGGTTTTACCAAGGCTGAGGAGCTGTGGGCAGGGAGCAACTGCAGCTTGTTGAGCTGAACCACACGGCCGGCAGCTGCTGCCCGCGAGGACGGGCCGAAAGCACCTTGAGCCCCAGGGCTTTGGTGGGCTGGATTTTAAAAGCTCATTGAATTCACTCTTCAGGGCACTAGGAAGGCCTTAGTCTGAGCTTGTGCTTATTGCTTTCCTTTTTATTCCCAGAAACGGTGCCTCCTTGCACCAGGTGGCCCCTCTAGCATCCCTTGGAAAGATGCATGCTRTGATTAAGGTGAAAACCTAATGAAGCTGCCAGCCCTAGGGACTCACCGGACAGGACTGACTGCAGCATGTCCATGATCATGTGGGCGAAGGCGTTCTCCACGCTCTTCAGGAAGTTATTTCTTTCCCCTGGGGTGCTGAAAACTTTGCAGACCTTCTGCATCATTTTTACTGCCCAGTCCATGCAGTACAGGTCCTTCTCGCAGACCTGACACACAGGAAATATTTTAAATGCCCTGCTGCTGAGGAGGATGCTATAAAAGACAAATTTAAATCTTATAGTTTGCTCTTGGTAATGAAGACTCTAACGAGTATTAGCAGTACTCACCAAAGCCAGGAAGACGACGAGTCTCGCCAGCTCAACCGTTCTGCCGTTCACGGCTTTGCTCGCCATGAAAGTGAAGCAGATGTTGTTCCCGCTCAGGATGAGGAGTCGAGCGTTGTTCTCCATGAGCCACTCCCGGGGGACAACTTGGGTGATAAAACAGAGAGAATCTGTGAGGAGATGCTCTCTAAAGGGCGCTCACAGATAAGTCTGGGGAAATGCCATTTAATAACGAATTCCTGTGAGGAATGTGGTTATAGCTCTCTGTAGTTTGGGTGTTACGCTCTTGTTCCAGACAAACTTTGAATGGTTTGGACAGCATTGTGTAGAATTTTGTTTTGAACAAATATTGTGTTTTGGATTTATACGCATCTTGGGCATATTTGCATARTTGTGGTAGCACAAGACTTGACTTTTAGAACTCCTGACGGATTCTTACGATATCTCCTAATGGCAAAAGCCCAAATTTCTAAGCAGTGCTGTTCTCCTCGTTCCCAGCTTCCAAGCGTAACAGCTCCTCTAGCTGTGCCCCAACTGCTGTAAGCATTTTTGCAAGCCRCCCCCCTGTCTGAAACGTGCTTATTGCTAGATTTGGAGGACACGACCAAATAATCCCGTGGATTAATGATGAAGGCAAAACCCCACCTGACAGCTCATCCACGAGACTGATGACATCGTCTGCTGTCCATTCTCGAGCTTCTGTGTCGTACAGTAGTTTAATGGCATCTGCCAAGCCTTTCAGACTGGTCTCGTCTGTTGGTCCTTCTATCATTTTCTGCCAGACCACGTGTCCTAGGTAATATTAGTCACAACTGCTATTAATTGACAAAGTACTAAAAAAAGTGCAGAACTGGGCCCAAAAGCAGAATCAGAGTGAAAAATTCAGGTAACAGATATTTTTCTCTGTGAAGGTGAGATCTTTCCCCATCTGTCATTTTAGTAGGGACAGTGGTAGTTGTGGCGTGTTTCTCAAGATGATTTAAGAAAAACCTATTTTAATTATTAAGCATTGGAATTGAAACTGTGTTTTACTTACATGTCAGTGTACATATGTATATGTAAAGTCTGGTTAAGCAGAAGGATTTGTTTAGAAGGATTTGTTTTTAGACAACATGACTACATTTCATTTGAATTTGGTTTTCCAAAACACTAMATCCTAAAGGAAAATTTCTTTCTTAAGACATAATTTAAAAAAAATAAAAACCAAATTACTTGCCATCTAAAGAGGAAACTGGCCCAAAGAGGATATAGAGCAAGCGAGCTTGGTTAACCATGGGCCATGGCTTTAAGATCCGAGTCAACCAAAATGCAGAATCACTCCGATGAATCCAGTGATTCAACAAAACACTGCGACAGAACAGTCTTATCCTTAGCTCCAGCTTCCGGGCGCT